ATATCTTTTATTGAAAAATATAAAATTTTGTATGAGTACCAATTTGGATTTAGAAAAGGTTATTCTACAGAACAAGCGATTCTTGAAATAACAAATAACCTAAGAAATTATTTAGATAATAATCAAATAGTATGCGGCTTATTTCTTGACTTGTCTAAAGCATTCGATACCGTAAATCACGAGATACTTTTGGCAAAAATGGACAAGTATGGTATTCGAGGGGAGCCTTTAACATGGTTTAAAAATTACTTAAGTAATAGGAAACAGTATGTGAAAATAGGCTGTACTGAATCTGAACTACTTGAAATGACCTGTGGGGTACCACAAGGTTCTACACTTGGCCCATTACTCTTCTTACTTTATATTAATGATATGCCTAACTGTGCAAAAAAGCTGAGTTTTCGTACATTTGCTGATGATACTAACGCCTTTTATTCCTGTAAAAATTTGTTGAACTTGGAAAGTACAATGAATGAACAATTTAAGTTAATACGTAACTATTGTGCAATAAATAAATTATCTATAAATTTTCAGAAGACTCATTATATGGTAATATCTTCAACGAGAAAGAAACTAAACAGCATAAAACTTGATAATATTGAACAAAAAGGTTTTATTAAGTACTTGGGGATTTTTCTGGATGAACATATCAATTGGAAACAACAAATAAAATATGTCAATAATAAAATAGCTAAAAATATTGGAATTATAAATAAACTTCGACACTATTTAGACTTAAAAATGATAAAGCAATTATATTATACACTTATTTGTCCTTATTTAACTTATGGAGTAATGAGTTGGGGAAATACATACAAGACTAGTTTAACGAAAATTAGTACCAAACAAAATAAGTGTCTAAGGAATATGTTCTTTGCATATAGCAGGGAAAGTGCTACTCCGTATTATAACCTCATGGAAATACTTAAATTTGAAAACATATTTAAGCTAAAAATTGCAGAGTTTACTTATAAAATAGTTAATGGCAGATCAAATATTCCGTCTATCTTCTTAGAGTTTGTGAGACCAGCGTACCAACAACACAGTTATAATACAAAATTGCTTCAAAATTAAATTTTGTCAGGCCAAAGGTCAAGACAAATTATGGAAAACACACTTTTCAATTTGTTGCATCAAAAATATGGGAGTCTATTGACTTGAAAATAAAAAGTTCGTCTTCATTTGAAATCTTTAAGAAAAGATATAAAGCTGCCCTTCTACAAAATCAATGAAAAATGTTATTGAGACTTGAGTCTATATGTGTATGTATATGCATATATGTGTATATGTATGTGTATATGTATGTGTATGTGTGTACATATGTATCTGAGTGTCTTTATTTAAGCTCAACCATATAAAATAATCTATATGATCGAACGTAGGTAGTGATCAACTCGAAAGTTTATGCTCCTTTGATCACTACGCACCTTCACTTTATCAAATTAACTTGAAATTATTCATTCAAAACATAATTATTTGTAAAATTTTGTATACACTTTCTTTGTTTTGTAAATAGTGCAGTTCCTGAATAAATCTATAAATCCTACATGGAGTGCAAAACTGGTGTCAACGTCTCACGAGTGGATTTCAGCGAACCACAAGGTGGAAAAGGTCCATGTGATCGTAAAGCCGCCACCATCAAAGCTCACGTTCGACGGTTTATCAACGAAGGTAACGACGTGACCACAGCGCGGCAGTTTAGGGATGCCATAATGTCATCGGGAGGTGTACCGGGCGTCAGGGTTGCCATGGTTGATGCAGCAGGTCTTTGTGACCCACATGTAGAATGGGATGGCATCAGCCGCCAGAACAATTTTGAGTACACCGACGGAAAAATTACCGTGTGGGAAGCCTATGGTGTAGGAATCGGCAGGGTAATGCAACAACGCGACACATGGGGTTAGTATGTGCTACAAAATTAAAAGTTACTAGCGACCGGCTTCTCAAACAAACTATTCCAAAATGTCTCAGTTTTATCCTTGCAACATTTACCAATGTTCAGTTAATACAATGACAAAAAATGTTTCAAGTACATCAATGAAACTTTTGGGAGGGCCGTTTTGTTTGAATAATACCCCAGTATTGCATGTCTGTTAACTTTGTGTGTTTCGTTTGTTTTGCCATTATAGCTCAGCCACTCCAGGATACATTTGACGCTCCATTTACACCTGGTGGTTTTGTGCGTAGTTCAGCCAAGAAGCATCGCAAGGAGACCGTATCCAGTGGCCCTTCACAACACGAAGAGCATATGGTGGGTGGCCTGTTCCAGTGCAGCAACGAAGGATGCGTGAAGGTCTACCAGACTAACGCTGCCTTAGAGAATCACTTGCAATTTGGCACCTGTGACCTCAGAGAAGAGAATGCCACTCTCATGGACCGGGCAAAAAAGCTCTATCACCACAAGCTCATTGAAGGCACCAGCAGCACAACACCGGTGGAGGAGAACAAGGAACGACAACAATCAAAGGATCCTTTGACTAAAGGCTGGGCACTAAAGAGCGCGAGAACATCGAAGCGTTTCAACGAATTTCAACGATCCTACTTGGACGGCAAATTCGCAATCGATCAGGAGACCGGCCACAAACTAGATGCCGCTGCTGTTGCCAAAGAAATGCGCTATGCTAAGAAGAAAGACGGAACAAGGATGTTTGAACCGGAAGAGTTTCTAACTGAAACCCAGATCCGGGGCTATTTCTCCAGACGGGCGGCCAAATTGCGACATGGTTACGAGCCAGATAGTGATGACGAGGCAGCAGCTGAGGAGGAGACGAACTACAGTACGACAAGGAATCTCTTGGTCCAGGATCTCGGCATACAGCATCCAGTGACCTATCACCAGTACAACCTGTGCGAAATGTCCTGCGATAACAAACTCAGCAAGCTAAGCATCAAGCTTCTTCAGGACATTTGTACAAGCATGGACATAGACACTGGCAACATAACCACACGCCGTAAGGCGCCGTACATAGCCTTGTTGTCAGAAGCAATCCAACAGTGTAGTTGTCAAAAATAGATCGTTTTACTAAGCCATTTTATAAGAACATTTCTTTGTACTAATATCAACCAGTTGAATGTGCTAGTTTATTTTTGTGCAAATGTTCACAATCAGACTGAAGGTAAAAAAAAATGCGATACGTTCCGCTACGATAGGGTTGAAGGGGTAAACGGCCCTAATCCGCTTTGGTGCGCAGCCCACAAAGGGTCGACCAGTTCGGGTAACCTGTGCAAGTAATCATGTCCTTGTTGTTTAATACACTATTTTGCCAAACACTGTGTTTCACAAATCGCGCCACAATTCTCTTCTTAATTTCTATTAACGGCAAGACAGTGGTCAATTGGTAATTCTACAACAACCTAACATGTGACTGACTGTATGGAACGATGTAGGCAAGGAAATAACCAAAATATTCTGAAGAATGTTGAACTGTCTCGCAGTAATTGATCATTTGTTATAAAGTCTCAGGCCTCATAGCTAGGTAAGAACTCATATAATGTACATTTTCTTCAAATATTGATACTACTATTGACCACACTGCATTGTTTATGAATGATTTAAACTCTGGTTGTCGTTTTGTCCGTTATTTCTACGGAGAAAATAATCTTTTAGCTACATATTGTGTGTTTACCGCTCTCGGCGGCTGTGTGTCAAAGGTCAATTCAGCGCTCAAGTGGTTGTACTTCAACCCGTTCTCAACTGCGCAAATTTAGAGTTCCCAAAAAGCTTATGGCATCATTCTAGAGGATATGAGTTACTCTACTCGAAAAATATAACAAGTTTCCAAAAAAACATGTATCATGCTGGATTTATCGCGCTCAAAAATTACTTAAATTGGGTGTCAGGAAATGTCCGACAGGAAGATTAAATTTCAAAAATCTGTCAAAAATTCTACTTTATTTTGATTGCCTTGCAAATCCGCAGAGAGCGGAAGTATTTACCTGCCTTTAGCGTGATGTATTTTATTTGGCCAACAACGCTGTGTTTTCCCCTCAAATTGCGCTGAGGCGCAGCCCTATTTTCCGACCTATTTCCTTGGTCTCAGAGCCTCTCAGCAATGACGAGTTCCCCCCGCCCCAATATTCGTTCAATCGATCTTAAAATTATTTTCCGTTAATAAGCGACCCATAATGATTATTCTGACAAAATTTCAGAAATTTCGATTTTTTTATATTGCACGACTTCGGTTGATATTTACGCGGAGCTGCTCTTAATATTTTACGCACACTCGGGACACTCATAACTTTTACACATCAGTTCATCTTTACTCACAGCAATATCTGTCTGTGATGTAATTCTCCATGAAGGCCCGACTAAAATGTTTTCAGTCTTATGTATCTCCCTTGATCGTCAAAATATTTTGCAATTTCAAGCCCAGCACCAAAATTATGAAGTATGTTTAAAAGAAAATCACTCATTTGAAAATGGTCAATAATATATTTAAATTGCATATAGCCAGTTACTTAAAGTAAATTAGAAATCATTGGATACTTCAATGGCTTCGTAGGTGCAGGCAGCCATTCTCTAAGATGGTTAAAATCCCATCGTAACTTATTTTATTTATTTCAAAACGCTTGAACACAACTAATTCATGTTTTCGCTCGCTACTCTGCAAGGTTTATATAAATGAATACATGCCCCATCGAAATGTAATCAAGACCGAACGTTTCGACACTCCAGTCTAGTGTCTTCATCAGGAGTGATCACACATGTTTCGCACGGTACTGCGAGAAAGAGCATATTTGGGTCAGTCTAAACGCCAGTTTGGTACACGGCTAGAAGAACATCAAAAGGCTGTTTCAGCTTTAAACAAGGGAAAATCAGCTTTAGCAGAACATGTATGTTACACCAAACACGAGATTGCGTGGGAAAATTCTAAAGTAATTACCACAAACAATCGCTATGGTAAAAAACAATGCCAAGAAGCGTGGCATAGAAATATGAGTAATCATGCTTTGAATAGGGATGACGGTGATCATGCCTATTTGCCAGAGGAATACATGCATCTCATTGGCAGATGACGTCATCCCTTGGGTATTTAAGAAGCCACATTGCAACTTTAGATCATCCCTGATTAAAACACTAGACTGGAATGTCGAAACGTTGGGTCTTGATTACAATTCGACTGCATGGGTTTTGTATTCATTTATATAAACCAGAGTTAGGAATGTTCGGTATGAGAAACTTCCGGTATCGGTATACCGAAAAAATGATACCGATATTATCGGTATACCGGTTTTCCTTTGATAATGATAAAGGAAAATTATTTAATGGAAATTTTGAGTAATTCTAAAAGGGAAAACGATAATTTTGAAGCTGTTTCGAAATCTAAATCATTTCAGTAGAAAGTTCTTTGAATTGCCATTCAGTAGTAAAATAAAGGTTATGGTTTTGCCATATAGTTGGTAAATGTAATACGGTATACCGAAAAATTCCGGTATATCGGAAATTTCGGTATATCGGCATGGCGGAATATCCGGCATCGATATACCGATATTGATTTAATACCGATATTTTCGGTATATCGGTATACCGAACAGTCCTAACCAGAGTAGCCAGCGAAAACACGATTGATAGCTATTGATATACCTGGTTGCCGTGAACGAACAAACCTTAAAACAGTAATTCGTTTCTCCGACGGAGAATACTTCTGTTCTTCTGTGCGCTCGTACCGGCATTGAGATCGATGAGACAATAATCACGTGTTATGGTGATTATATAAACTTTTTTTCAGAGGAACGAGTAGATGCGTTGATTGAAGAAGCGTGCAACCCAACCAGAACAGAAACGTTACCAAATGAAGACCTTGTTCAAATAAAAGAAACCATGAAAACATTTTATGCCAAGTACGTATATGCTCATCGTGCCTCGAGCAAGGAACCTTTGATTGAGAATGTTTGTAAATCCATGACGAAAAACGTTAGATCGTCAGCTTACGCAAATCTTTTGAGTCCACAAAGTAAAGATAAACGAGGGAGAAATGACGGACAATTCGTGCGCGGCAATCAACAGATTCTCAGCTTCGCAAGAGATGACCTTTCGAAAAATGCCTCGACTAAAAATCCTGCCATATTGAGTCAACGTCTTTTTTTGTTTTTGTTTTTTTTTCTTTTTTTTTTTTTCCTTTTTTTTTTTTAAAGTCTTTATTAAACATAGCCACAACAGACGTGTGACTTTACATTTAAAATTCTCATATACAAGGTTCCAAAAAAAAAAATAAACTTAATTATTATTATGTATCTAAGTTAATTATTCTTAGGTAGAATTCTTAAAAAGACTAAGACTAAATTATTATTATGTATCTAAGTTAATTATTTTAGCTAAAATTATTAAATCGTGTTCGCGTTCTCTTAACGGTCTTTGTCTTTTAGGAGGAAGTAGTTCGTATAAAGGGTGGCCTGGGTTGCTACATATTTTTTCAAATAAACTCATGTCTCTTTCTTTAATCACATCAATTATCTGAACACTTTTTGTTGTGTATCCATATTTGTATGCTCGCCTAAGAAATTTATCAATCCGTTCCAGGTACTTCTTTTCAAGTGCAGAACCCCATACTTCGATTCCATAAGAAAATAAAGACATAATAAGTGCGTCGAAGAGAATTGTTAAATTTTTTTTAGAGTAGCCATACGATCTGCATATTCTCAAAATGTGCATTCGACTGCTAGCTTTAGATATCAAATTATTAACTTGAAGGTCCCAACAATTTGGATCATTCTGCAGTGTGGTTCCCAATAGTTTCAGCCAAGTCTTGCGTTCGATACCCGTTATTGGTTCTGGTAAAGGATTTGTTGATTTGCCACTTACAACCATTTCCCATGTTTTATCTAGATTTAATGACATTCTGTTTGTTTCCGTCCATTTTTTAATATTGTCTACCTCAGTTAGTGCGGAGTCATAATTATTTTTCACTGGAGCGCTAACAGTCATATCATCTGCAAATTTGACTAGTATGTTGTTATTTGGATCTTTGACTGTTAGATCATTTATCATTAAGGAAAATAGAAATGGTCCAAGAACTGTGCCTTGCGGTACTCCTTTGTTTATGTCTACATAATTTGTTTCTATTCCGTTTACTATTACTCTTTGTCTCCTATCAGTCAAAAAATTTCTAATCCAATTTATTACATATGGATTAATGTTGGTTTTTTCTAGCTTCTTACAAATGATGTTGTGAGAAACGGAATCAAAGGCTTTCTTGAGATCGAATGAAATCACCCTGACATGATCAACATCACCATCCAGCCAATTTAGCCATTTATGGTGACACATAATAAGAGCATCAGTTGCGCTGGTACCTTCCTTATATGCGAATTGGTCAGATTTTATTAATTGTTTTAGTTTTGATGAGATCTCTTTTTTAAACACTATTCTTTCGAACAATCTCATTATTACGTTCGTAAGAGATATAGGCCTTAATTGTGTACATTCTATAAGGGGGCTTTCCTTAGGTATTGGATTAAGATTGGCTAATTTCCATAGGAGGGGAACGCGTTGCTGTTCCAATGACATGTTAAATATCTTTGTTATCACTGGGGCTAGATATTTTGCAAAGTCTTTCCATACCCAATAGGGTAGGCCATCAGGACCTGTTGATGTTTTCTTTTGTTTTTCCAAAAACCTTTCTACAGTGGGTATATCAACATTTGGTACTCTAGTCTCATTGGGTATAGGAACGAGTTCAGGATATGTATAATTATCATCAGTGTTTATTGTCTGGAAATAACTATTTATAACACTTGGATCAATATTTATACTGGTGTGATTTGCCTTCCTACCGGTGATTTTATTAACTGTGTCCCACCATTTCTTCGATCCAGATGCATATTTCCCATTCTCCTTCTTAACTTCACTAACCATATTTTCTCGGATAAGCTTATTTATCTTTCTTTGTAGATCTTCGTTAACTCCTTTCCTCACACTTTTATTGCGTATTTTACATAAATGTTTTACCAGAGGAGACATGTATGGGGGATCCCGTGTGGATAATTTTATCTTAATCAATGGAAAACTGTTGTTGAATGCAGAAGTGATAATATGATTTAATAACATAACTGATTCGTTCACGTCTTCACAGTCATCAATACAGCTCCAGTCTTGTGCTTCCAACTCTCTCACCATAGCAAACTTTCGATGGTCTCTTGCATCTCTAAAATAAACTGTTTTTCTTTCCGGTTTTACAGCTACCCGTGGAGTTATCACGACAGCCAAATGGTCAGATTTTACTAAGCCATCAAAGACTCTAGGGTGATTCCATAAGTGTGGACAATTAGTTAGGAAAATGTCAAGTATTTTCTGACCTCTTGTAGGTTTTCTCACCATTTGTTCCATATTATGTTGACTTATAATATCCTTAACCTTCAGTTGATTAACATCTCCTCCAATTATAATTCTGGCATTTGATTCCCACTGAAGAATTTGCTCAATACTCTCTGATAAATGATTTAGTAATTCGCTTTCCTGATATGTGGGGTCCGGAGGGTGATACACAGAGGCGACATAGTATTTGCTATTTGCTGTCTCAATTTCACACCAGATGCATTCCAAATTATTTTGAAAGTTTAGAAATTTACACTTCCAATCTTCCCGACAAATTATAGCAACACCTCCTCCATTTCGACCGTCGCCGCGATCTTTTCTTACAATAAGATAGTTATTGGGACATACTAAATTTGATAATATCTTACTGTTCAACCATGTCTCGCACACGAAGCAGATGTCAATTTCCCATGTGGAGAGCTCAACATCCAACGCAGAAACTGCCTGAGGTTTGGCAAGAGAACGTGCATTTATAACCATGCATTTGGGTATGATCTTTTGCGTAGGAGGACCATTTCTGGTGGGCTTGATAGCAATTAAATTTGCATGTGTATTCCTAATCTTGTTGGGATTATAAATTCGCGTGGGGGTATTTTGATCATAGTTTGTTTTACTAAAGCGTGATGTTATTCTAACCGGTATCTTCAAATTAGGATTGTAGGATGTCTCTTCATTTAGTAAACGGGGGGTCTTGTCCATAATGACATAAGAGGTGGGGGGCTTGGTAGGGTCGGAGGTGGGGGTGTATGCAGATACGGAAACGGCTGTAGAGGGGGATAAAACATTGGGAGTCGAAATGGGGGAAAATATGCCAAAGGTCGTAGGTTCGAAAACCCACCGTGGCCGGGCATATTTTTCAAGCTGGCCCGGTGTGGATATACACTCAGAGTAACACCACAAATATCATATTCACCTGAGTACACTACACCAACACAGAAAAAAATTCATATTACTAGAATACATTGGTATCGAAGGAACTAGATTCTGTTCCGAAATATCACTTACTCGAATCGTCCTGACCGCGTAGCTCAGTAGGAAGAGCATTGGGCTAGTATTCCAAAGGTCGTAGGTTCGAATCCCACCGTGGCCGGGCATATTTTTCAAGCTCGCCCGGTGTGGATATACACTCAGTGTTCACCACAAATATCATATTCACCTGAGTACACTACACCAACACAGAAAAAAATCATATTACTATAATACATAGGTATCGAAGGAACTAGATTCTGTTCCGAACTATCACTTACTCGAACCGTCCTGACCGCGTAGCTCTGTTGGAAGAGCATTGGGCTAGTATTCCAAAGGTCGTAGATTCGAATCCCACCGTGGCCGGGCATATTTTTCAAGCTCGCCCGGTGTGGATATACTCTCAGAGTAACACCACAAATATCATATTCACCTGAGTACACTACACCAACACAGAAAAAAATTTAAATTACAGTGAAAATACAAAAAGTGTCCCACTTCCGCTTCTGTAGTTTGTTGTGATTTACTGTAATTTGTTCTGTTTTTCTGTAGCTATTACCGATTTATCAGCAAATACCGCGATAAAACTTAGTTTTTTCTATTTGTAAATATGATAATTTGTAGTCGAAAGGGAAATAATACATTTTTCGTTAGTTTCATTGCATAAAACTTACGAAATTTAAATTTTATCAGTGGCGGATCCAGCTAAAAATCTGACTG